AGGCATATTCCCAGAAGAACTGAAAGCATCATACCACAGTGATATATGCGCACCTATGTTTATAGCAGCACAATTTGTAATCACCAGATCTTGGAAACAACCCAAGTGTCCATCAACTGAGCAATGGATAAAAAATTGTGGTATTTTTATACAATGGAGTACTACTCAGCTATAAAGAAGGATCACATTGAAATATTTATAAATAAATGGGCGCAGCTTGAGACCATACTCATAAGTGAAGTAAACCAAACTCACATGTGTGAATACCGAATAGTTTCCCTAGTATAAGAAATGATTCTAATATATAAAAGTATGTGGTAATCATGATTCCCCATTATGTGGCCTTGAAGCCTTATAAAGTTTTCACTTATTAATTGGAATGGCTTTATTCTGGGCTGCTTGATATTATTGCCTGTAATGAAATGAACAGCTATTTTGAAGAAAACAAGACATCATAATAGCTAGTGCTGATTTAATATCATCTTGTTTTGAAGCCCCACCAAACTATTGCTCTTATGTCTCCTTTGGTTTTATAATGTTGTATCTTGCTGGATTTTATTATATGTGATAGTATAAACAAAAATTTTTATAGGCGAAGAGATAATATAGAAATCACTGTTCGTTTTTCTGTTAGCTGGTTCTAAATACCCTGTAATACTTTCATCCACTTGAATGGTTTCACACTGTCTTGATATGTTTGATGCTATGGTATACAAAGTTACATTCAAATATTTCAAGGAAAAAGACACTATGGTAACTACTATTAAGTCGGGTTATTTGGTGGTGAAGCACTAGGTTGCTGAAATTGTCATGCTTTGACTTGTATTGTTATGTTGTTATGTCCTCTTATCTCAGTCCCCCCTTATTTATTAAAAAATTATTTATTATTTTTTAATTAAGGGGAAAAAACAAAAAAATTAGGATATATTATAGTAACGTTTTTGATTTCTTATTAACTTGAAGTCTTGTATTACTCCCACTATCTTGTTTTGACTGATTAGACTCTGATCTGTTCTGTTTGATAGTATCAAGTTTGAGGGTATAGGTAACTACTTTGAAGGCAATAAGATTCACTATGATGCCCATTTTGGTTTGACTATTATCTTCTTTTGAAGTCCTGTAATGTTAACAATGTTTAGGTTTTATTGGTCTTATTCTGTACTGTTTTGTTCAACTTTATTATACCTAATGACATAGGCAATTCTTTTTTTAAGGAAGCAAGAGGCATTATGATAACCACTGTTGATAACCTTGTACTCTGTTTTTACATCATGTGCTATGTCTATCCTTGGTTTTGACTGACAGCTTTATTTTGTCATATTTGGTTGTATTGTCTTCCAAAAAAAAGTAATAAGAACTATGGGAGTAATAAAACTCAAAATGTGTAAATTTTGTTGTAAAAAAGAGAGGGAAAAAAAGTGCTCTAAAGGATACAATTGCAAGTGTGTTTAGTTGTGTTAGGATAGATAACCATATTACTGAGTTTTTGTTGGATCATTGAACACAGCTGTTTGCAGTCTCACTGTTTGAATGTCCACTTTGTATGCTTTGATCCTGTGACTTGAGCAACTGTTTCTAAGATGACAATGTGTAATCTATTAACTGGTGATTTCTTACTGTTTTTTTTTTGTAGTTCTGTATTACTTGTACCCTTACACTGTTTTGTTTTGTTTTTTCTTTTTTTCCTTTAAAATAAAATTTAAAAAATAAAGAAGGGGAAGTGGAAGCATCCCCTTTTCACCCTCTTTGTTCCGAGCACTATATTGGGGGCTCTTTGTTTCCATGAAGACCAAGTCTCTTGGTCCTTCAGTTCACCAGTTCAAGATCCAGTGACTTCAGCCAAGACCATAGGTCAGCTAACATCCACAATAATGAGTCAGCTCAGAGGTGGAACCCAGGCACAACCAAAGCAAATGCCAGTTTTCAAGCCATTTGTGTATTTTGGGGTTGTGATTTGTACCACAATAAGCACCAAAATTAACATAGATGGAATAAGGAAAAGAAAAATTTAGCTTACTGATGATGTGTTGTATAAAATTCAATCCAATAAGGAATAAGCACCTACAGTATGCTACATAAGTTGTGTCAAAAGGGGAAAGACTGAACACTTTTCAAATGCTTAATGTGTACTTTGAAGGAAAGGCTGTGTCTTTTTTTTTTCCATTGTATCATGTACCACAGTGCCTGGCAGACATTGGATTTTTATGTAAATCAATGAATGTCTCTGGGTACTCTGTATATATGATACAAGTATCATCAGTTTCTCAAAACACCTAAGGTAGGTGGCATCATGTCCATTTCACAGAGGCACAAACTGACTACCAGAGAAATAAACTATGTAAGATCACAAAGCCAGTATTTTAATAATCTACTGCTTGTAACAGTTCAGCCCAGAACTTAGTGGTAGAAACTCCTTATGTGCTCATATTCTGCAACGTGGGCCAGCCTTAACCGGTAGAATGTGGAGTTTGTATGCAGATGCAGTCATCTAGAGGCTATAGTGGGGCTAGAACATACACAGCAGCTTCACTCACAAGGCCAGCCTCTCAACTGGGATGGTTAGATTGGCTAGGGATGAGCTATCTGTCTTTGTCACCGAATATTTTGATGGCCGAACATTTGTCAAGGACTCTCTTTGGTCTCTTTTTCCAGCAGGGTAATTGGACTTCCTCACAGCATGAGGACTAGCTTCTAAGAGGACCAGCCTCAATATGCCAGCATTTATCAAGCCTCTGTTCGGATCATGCCTGCCAAGGTCACACTGAACAAAGCAAGTCACATGGCTAAGTCTAGAGTCAACATGGAAGAGCCTTCCAAAAAAGCATTCTCATTGGTAGTGTATTCACAGGGACCCATGCATGTAACATTTTTTCACTGATAGTAAGCGGCAGAGCTGAGAATCAAACTCAGATTGCCCTGATTCCTGTTTCTCAATAAGTTTTATTATGAAGAAACAAGTAGTAGTGCTGTCTGCAGTTATCTTCCCCAACCCTGAATTGCTTTATTGTTTTAGAAGTATAAAGGAAATGGCATTTGCGTTGAACACTGGAGGATGTGTAGTATTTCAACAGGCACAGACAAAAAGGAAAGTGGAGGCAGATACTTGGAAGCAATGGGATGGCTTTATGGGACACTGAGTGGTGTTGCAGAGGAGTGGAAGAGGGAATAGAAGATAACCCTGGTACTGTGCACCACCCACAAAGGTGTGTGATCTTAGCAAGGAAGGGAAGCCACAGGAGGTTTCTGAGCAAGAGAATGGTCAGCCTTGAGTACTAGGAAAGTGTTCCGTCAACAATAAGCTAGACAGACCAATAGAAGAAGAGGTTAAATGAAAGAGAGATGGCCAAAACTAAAGTAGTGACTGAAAAAACAAGAAGTAGGTCACCTGTTAATGAAACTCTTAAATATTCTTTAAAGTCCAAGCCAGGCTTTCATCATTATTACACCTTACAGGAATTGTTCCCACCCCTGAATTCCTTTAATGGCATGTAATCTGTGTGTCAATCTAGCACACAATCATGTATCATTAAGCACCACTCAGATTATTATAGATATTAGTGACTTTTGTCCCTAACCAATACATATGGTCCCAGAGAACAGTACAAACCCGTCAGGCTGCCTAATAGATGGGGAATAGCACTATAATGGTGAACAAGAATCAAAGTTTCTAATCTTAGTTGTGCATACTAAGTATTGTAAGATAGAGCTTGCTATTTTTGTAAAGAAAGGAAGCAAGATTAAGTAGCTTTTAAGAAGTCCTCTAGCAAAAGATAGAACAAAGTCAGAGTCAAGTACTTATTCACCCCACAAATAGTTTTTGAGTGTTCATTACGCATCAGGCACTCTTTGCTAGCTTCTGGGGATACAGACCTGGCTTGATTTTTAGTTCTGCAATTGTGTCCTTGGAAAAATAATTTAAATTCATGGGCTACACATCTATATAAAACAGAGTAATTTCTACCTTGCAGTGGTTCTAAGGATTGTGACAAAACACATAGCTTAAGGGGCTCAGGGAAAACTATGTGACCCCCCCCCAAAAAAAAAAAAAAAAAACCCAACAACCAACTTTGATATAGAGGCCACGACTGAAGAAAACACGCAACCCAACCAGGTGTCATGGTGAACATTTACTGTACATCAGGCTTCACAGCACTTAAGAGATTTTGTTTGTTCTTCTGCTTCCTTGCTTTCCCTCAATACAGGGCAACATCCGACCAGTCCCAATCACACTGCCTTCCAGAGGCAAAGCGCTTGTCAGTCCTTATGGATCTGAAAGGGGGAAAACGCTAGTTTTCTTTTCAACGTCTTATTTTAAGGATGTGGCACAAGCCCGATGTCAGGGGTGGCCACAGCGACCCCTCCCCCAGCATGGTGGTACAAAAGGTCTTTGGTTTTACCCAGAAGGCGGACTCAGCATCACAGGACACACAGGGAATGCCACAGACACACTCAAGGACTCTTGGTCCATGGCGAAGGGAACGAGGCTTAGGTGTGAACTGCAAAGTTTATGGAGGAGGTGGCCCACTGGAGACCAGCACCCAAGCAGAGCACCTTGCACCAGGCAAAGCGAGCTGGCTTGGTATCTGGGCACAACTTGGAGGCATGATGAGGACCGCGGATAAGCTGTGGCCAAGTCACAGCAAATGCCAACCCATACATCCCCTACTTCTAGTGAAGTGGAGGCTGAGGTAGGCAGTACTGAAGACTGTCTGACAAATGCACGAGCGGGCTGCCAGGCTTTGAGATGTAGCCATAGCTACATTCCTCTCTTCTGTAGCTGTCTCCTTTTTCCCACGTTCCTACTCAGTACTCCTTCCCTCCAGAAGCCCTCTCTGCTTCCTCTCTTCTGGAACCAACTCTTCCCACCATAGCTTGCCGACACAGCACAGCACGCATGCGCAACTCTGAGGCGCAGGCGCAGTCGCAGCACGTTGGCGCGGCGGCGCGGGGGTTGGGGAGAGTGGTTGGAGGGAGGGAGGGTACACGTCTCAGGTCCCTACCAGGTGCCCGTAGACGTCGGCAGGCTGGAGGTAGAAGGTGGAGTTGAGCAGTTCTTCCAGCCTGCGCGGAACGTCGTTCTCCCGGTAGTACTCCATCGCCTGCTGCTTCAGCTTCTGCAGCTCCCTAGTGGTCCCACAGCTGCGGCCGCCGCCTTCTTCCCCCATGGTAGGAGATTTAAGGCTACAGCGGGGTTTAGCCTGGGGGCCCGGTAGCGTCCTCCTGTCACTAGGCAACGCAGCGAGATCACGACCCCCAAACATCGCGAGTCTTCCCACCCTGGGTTCTTTAGCGGCGAGAGTCTTTCCTCTTCAGGAGCGCTGGTCGTCTGGTGTCTCCAGTGCGCTCTTCTCTTTTCCCCACCAGGGATTGACCCGGGTTAGGCTCCGAGATTTGCGGTTCCCCGCTTTGTTTTTCCACTACTTTTCTTGACGATTTTGCAGATGGGGAAACATTTAATGACCTTGTGATGCACGTTTTCTGGAAGCCGGGAACCTTAGTCCCAACTTCGGCTGAGGATCCGCGTTCGGTGGCGCGCGAGCTTCCCAGGGCCCCCATCCGACCCTTCGTTCTTTGCATTAGTGATCTCCGGGTTGTGAGGACGGATGTAAAAGCCCATGATATCTTTACCGAGTTGTAGAGGTCCCAGAGATTCATTCATTCAGCCTATACGTACTTATTAGACAACCTCCTAGGAGCCAGTGTTCCAGCTGGGCATACCGTGGTGTCCCTGGGAGACTGGGGATGGGGTGGTGAAATCATCCTGAGGAAAACCCAGTAGGAGCCGAAAAATTTAGGAGCAGATTTTAAAAGATAGTTAATAGTTTGGCCGGGCCTTGGTGGTGCAGGGTGTTGCGGGCAGGATTTGGGGAGGCGAAGAGGAGTGGAGAAAGGACATTGGGCCCCGTTTCCTCCAGAGGACAGCCTGCATCTTGTCATTTTAGGTCCAAATGTCTGCCTGGCTCCATTAGTCTCTTAGGCGTCAGATGCAGTTACAGAACTTGATGTTCGCATCCTGCTCTAGATACTTCCACTGCTACAGGAGTGGACAGAGATGGACAGGAAGTTCTTGCCTATTTATATTCCCGACATAAGCAGTTCACTAAACGTTTCAGGCTGTTTTTGCTTATCTGGAAAACATAACCTTACCCATTCAGCCTGCTTCACAAGTCACTGCATAAGATAAAGAAGTAAGCTAGAAAGTACCTGGAAAAAAGATGATTATTTTCAACATATGCACATATGGATATAGGTGAATAGAAATGTGACTCGTATGAGTACTTCTGTGCCAACCCAGATATCTACTCTCCCCACCCCCACACCAACTTTTTGGTATTTTCTCTGAATTTCTTGTGAAATAGCTTACTTTTGGTGGTGAGAGATCACCAATGAGCTGCTTTCCCCTCCTTGCTGATTGGAAATCCCAGGTAGTAGGAGCTAAGGCTGAGTCAGTCTCACATCCACTGCAGATTCCCAGCCCTTGCTGGGACAGAGCATGTGCTCCATTACGTGTAATGTGAACCTTTATCCAAAATTTAAACAGCTGCTGTTGCCCTTGGTCTCATTCCACCTTTGTATTTTCCTCATATGGTATCTCCCAACGGGAGGTAACCTTCACTGTCCTTGAATGTCCAGGTCAAGTCCCACATAGTCAAAGAAACTGTGCTCCACACTCCGGCTCTCAGCCTGGCCAGCCTTTCCTTTCTTCTGGACTCCTCCCTCCTTGCAGCCTGGGCCAAAGTGTTCAGTGATCAAGGATGTCTTGACAGCATTTGACATTTTAGTGAAAGATTGGGCCTGTCCCGGGCTGGGATCATCATGTCTCAGAGGCTTCCTGGTATAAACAGGAGGCCTGTAAGTTTTGTGGGAACAGGAACTTGGTCTCTTGTTCACCCTGTGAACACCTGAGCATCAATACATTGCCTGATAGAATAGAAAATGCTCAGAAAATATTTGTTGGATAAACAAATAAGTCATGATTGGATAATAAATGCTTAACACCTAAATATTGTGGATTGGATTAATATTGAATCCACCATGCTAGCTGGAGCCAATATTTGTTTTTCAAGAATAATGAGAAATACAGATATAAAATAGTCTGAGGCAAGACTGTGAAGGGAATAGAATTTCATTTTGTAAGAGTGGGAAGTAGCCATAAATTTCTAAATATAGGATGGTGAGATAGAAAGGTTTAAAGGTAGCAGTGGAGAGGACTGATTGGTGTTTTGGTTACATATCAAACAAGTATAGGTAGAAAATAATGTAAGTGTAATGACCTAAACAACAACAACATAGCAGTGGGAAAAGATGGATGAACGAATAGAAAAGGAGGATAGAAAGGCTTATGTGTGATTGGGTTGGGCCTCAAAACTATTGAGAGCAATGTAGAATTCTGCTGCAGTTGTCAGAAATGGGAAATGAATTTTTTTTGAGACAGACTCTTACTATGTAGCCCAAACTGGCCCTGAACTCTTGGTAATGCTGCCTTAGTCTCCTGAATCCTGCGATTACAGGTATGCCCCACCACACCCTAGGGTCATCTGGTTTTGATGGGACATGTACACTGGGATATAGATGTGCACTGATGGCACGGAGAAAAGGAAAAATTGAGGCTGCAGGAGAAGACATCTCATGGAGTTTCAGATTGCAGTACAGTCCAATATTCTGGAGAGAACTGAGGGAAAAAATAAAGACCTAAATTTTGGGGAAGAAACAGATTTAAGGGATAGGAAGAGGGCAAAGAGCTGTAACAGGTAAAAGGATTTAGAGAAAAAGGAAAACCTTCAAGTCCCAAAGTCTGGAGCTAGGAGTTTTGGGATTGTCTCAGATGGGTGCGGGTACGTTTCTGTGTGTATGCATAGAATAACCTGAAAGGAAGTATTACAGTATGTTAGCTTGTTTTTGATGATGGCATCAAGAACAAGTTTTCTTTTTTTCTTTTTCCATATTTGTAGTATTTGGTTTTCCTAAAATGAATGAATTATATAACTTTGGAAATTTTACAGTAAACATACTTGAGGAAAGATGTTAAGTGAAAGGTTATAGGAGGACTGAAGAATGAGAAAAGAGTATTAGAAATTTAGTTGTTCCCTTAAAGTCTTCTCAAATAAAAAAAAAACATGAAAACAATACATACATGCATACTATGCAATTCTGCTTCATTCAACCAACAAATATTTCTTGAATGCCTGTCATGTACTAGGACATGTACTTGGCACTGAGGAAAGAGCCGTGAATAAAATCTGTATTTCCTCTCATCTGTTTGTAGAATTTAAAGTCTGATAGTATTCTGGTAGCACTTAGATGGAATGAGTCTTTGTATAATAAACTAAAATAATAGATGTGAAAGCCCTTTGAAAAGTTGATATGCTGGGGACTTATTAATAGCCTATTTTGTTGACATATCTAGAGTCAATAAAGTATTCTTAAATATTCCAATTTTCTTATTTCCCATAGCTATTAGAAGCTATTGTAGTCAGGGTTTGCAAGGGAGTAGATCTAATATAGGACACAAAATTTATAGGATTATAATATTTACCCAAAAAATCAAATGCAGATGAGTGCAAGAAATCTGTCCTCACACTAGAGACCCACAGAATTCAGCTGTGTCTTAGTTACTTTTCTTAGCCCTGTGTCTTAGTTACTTTTCTTTCATTGCTGAAACAAAATACCTTGACACCCAGAGTTAAAGGAGGAAAGGTTTGTTTAGTTTGTAGAAGTTTCCATCCAAGCTGGCTCCAAGGCAAGGTGGCATGGCAGAGGGGCAACAGTTGTAGCATGACAGCAAAGACAAGAACAAAAGAGCAAAACAGGCTTCTTTCTGCCCCTTTTATCTTATCCAAACTTCTGGAATTAGAGTTGGTATCTATCTAATCAGTAGACTGATCCAACAATCACTCACCCTTAATTCCAGCACCATTATTCCCAGCATTGGACTATAAATCAATCAAAACTCTAGATTGGGCTACCTCTGAAAAGCCTTCCCTGCCTTGACTGCATGAAGCTTTGGTGGGGGGACATTCAGACACAAACCATAACACCCTGGGTCCTACAGCAATGTCCCACAGGGGTCTAGCTGGAGGTCTAGAGCCTATGACAATATCTCACGTGGGTCAGTATCAAGGATCAGCACTGGGAAGGCCCAAGGACAGGTAGTAGATGCTAGAAAGTCTGTGCTGGCTGCATGAAGGATCTATGCCAGAGGGCAATGGAGCCAGGAAGTGACATTCAAGGTGAAGACCAGAGCTGCTCCTCTGATTCAAACAGCCAAATTCCTACCCTGAAAGCCAGCCCCAGCAAGCTTCTCCAGGAAAATTAGCAGCACACAATCCATCCCCACCCATTCTTCTTTTATGCTTGTTGGCAGCAATCCTCAGGTGGGCCTTCCAAGGCCAGAGCCATGCCAACTCAGTTCAACTGGGAGCACTGGCATTTTCACTGTAAAATGCATATACACATTTTATACATATGTATTTCTTATTTTGGTACCTGGGTGACTATATTTCCATTTCATAGGCTAAGTGTCCAAAGGGGCACTTTCAAGTCATCAGAGTATGAAAGGGGTTGAGTGTGGTGCTAATCCTAAAAGGATCGAGCTGGAGAGTTCAGGATGGAAGAGAAGGAAAAGTCAAGAAGAACTCAGGAAAAGTAGAAAGTTCCTGGGAGAAATCCACAGAGAGATATGGGTCTGGGCTTTCCAGAAGAAGTGGTGTGATACTGCTGCTGTCCAGCGAGTCGGTGCCTGGGCTAGAAGGCATGTGTGACGTGAACCAGAGACCGTTTGGGCCTAACAACCTAGGCTGGAATCCCAGCTGACCCGAAGGTCTTTACATTGCAGTAATCAGAGTGCTTTTGACTGATCTGTGTCTCTTGACCTCCGAGTACGGAAACTCCTTTTTAACAACAAAAATTAAGGTGCCTCTCCATGTAATAGTTACATACAATGACTATAAATAGAATTGTCCTTTTTGAGGCCTTTATATTTCAGCCATGGGACTGTTGTATGTATGAAAAGAATACACACACTGGCAAGGTCTCCTTCAGTGCTGCGGGTGTGTTTTGGTGTATGTGTGGAATTGTGGGTTCCTTGCAGAGTCCATTAACTTCTTAGTGATCTTGTTGAGAACCACTGAACTGCATTGAACGATCTTAAATCTCCTTTACTTTGTAGCTCAAATTCAAAACAAAGTATCAGGGAATATTTGTCTATTCCAACCTGCTAATGAAGACCTTTCATAGAGGAAATGAACCCTTCTTCAGCCTGCACTTCAAAAAAAAAAGTTTCTAAACTATGTCAGACATTTCCTAAATGAATGAGGATAAATGAAAATATATTTGTTTGTTTGTTTCTTAATCCTATCCGTCCGACACCTTCATTGAAGTCAGAATTTGCCATGACTTTAACATTCAAGAGAGATTATTTAGATATTATTTTGGAGTTGCTACCAAACGCTTGTTAATTCTTCTTTCCTGCATTTGACATCTGTGTTCAATATTGTTTTCACAAGGAAGTAATGAACTTGACTGCAGGTGCCCTTAGTCATAGAATCATAGAAACTGATGACAGAGTAGAAGGAAAATACTCTCTTTTCCTCATCTAGAAAGTGAATAATGTTAACCTTCCCCAGCTGTTACAAATGAGAAATAAGATTGCCAAACTAATTGTGAATATAAGTAGTTGTAAATTTAATGTGAATAAAAGGAATGATTTGACCAATAGAAAAAGGTTTTGATTTGTTTTTTATTTTTTCATTACTGACATCTTCTGAAAGTAGTCATTGCCACTGTAGTAGGAATAACAGCAAAAACAAAAACACAATA